TTTTGGATTGCTCCAATTCTCGCTTCAATTTGTCTATCTTGTGATCTACCTCAACGGTCTGACGATCAAGTTTCTGTTCGATCATTTCTATTCTTGTTGACTGTTCTTCAATCTGTTCTGCCACTTCCAATTTTACGTGTTTTAGCTGGTCCTTGATCTGTTTTAACTCCTCTGTCTGTCGTTCGGACTGTTCCTTGATCTGTTGTTTTAACTCTTCTGTCTGTCGTTCGGACTGTTCTTTGATCTGTTTTAACTCCTCTGTCTGTCGTTCGGACTGTCGTTCAGACTGTTCTTTGATCTGTTTTATTTCAGTTGACATACTAAGCAGAAGTTCCATCATTTTAGCGGTTGTAAACGTGCCTGTGCTAATTTCATTGTCTTCGTCAGCACCATCAAACTTGAATTCGTCTGGGTTCTTACGTTCGTCAATGAGAGCTTCTCTCAGACGTGCTACTAGTACTTCTTTGTTGCCACTTGTGACAAGGCTTCGTTTCTGTAGTTCTTCTCGTAGCTGAACTACGTTCAAACCACACAGTTTTGACATCGTGTTCTTTTTCTACGAGTAGTAATTCGCTGGTCGAAGATCCCACTTCTGACACCAATGTTATAATACTCGCTGTCGTAACCGGTTTACGATGCGACGGGTTCAAATCTTCGATTGAATAAAATACTCCAAACAGCTATTAAACTTTATTTACAGAAGAAATCAACTATTATTAGTTATTAAACTTTACTTACAGAAGAAATCAACTAATCGTATATTTCCAGTAAATTCGCACTAACGCAACAATTAACTTTTAAATCTTTCAAAATCTATCGCTATGACAACGTCAACAAACAATTCAAATATCGCTTTAAATAATTCACCGAATCGCTATTCACAAAATCACGAATTTCACTAATCACGAATATCACTAATCACGAATATCACTAATCACGAATATCACTAATCACGAATATCCCAATCACGAATATCACCAATCACGAATATCACCAATCACAAATATCTTGCGACGTGCGCTTATATACTCTTCGCAAGCGTCGTTTCTAGATTCTTCCCGATGGTCCGATTCCAGCATACTCTAGAACGTTCCAGTCACTAGAACATTCTT